TGATGATGATGATGATGATGATGATGATGATGATGATGATGATGATGATGATGTTATCTTTTTTTCTTATTACGGGACGAAACTATGAACATTTTTGGTAGTACACGTACCATACAATTTCACACCCTCCCCCAAAGTCTGTTTTTTCCCAATGTTCAGAAAAAAGCAATGGTGGTGATGGTGATGGTGATGGTGATAATAACGATGATGATCACGGCAATTCAGTTCTTCCTGGTGAGTGTGTGTGTGTGTGTGTGTGTGTGTACACGTGGTGAAACACCAAACCAGTGTGCCAGGATCTGGACAAAAAAGATGTATCTTATCTTATCTTAACAAAAATACTAATTTCAAACGGGTTCACGTAAAAAAAAAAAGGTGATTTCGCAGATGTTTGACAAGAATAGCATAGAAATACGCTCCAGAAAAGTTGTGTTCGTGAGCTGATTGTAGACTTGTTGTTTTTTTCAGTTATACAAGAATGTCACAGTTGTTTTGTTGTTGTTGTTGTTGTTGTTGTTGTTGTTGTTGTTGTTGTTGTTTTATTTCTTTTTCTGAATATAGCTCAGGCAACTAAACGACGGATTAAGGAACTGCAAAGCAGAAATAAAAATTTTGGGCGTAATACATTCGTAAATGATAATGTTCTTACGGCCACATCGACCCAATTTAGATCATTGAGGAGACAGGCTTCCGACCCCGCCTGTTAGGACCAACCCGGGCTGAGAGGGATAAAACATCCCAACAGGAAGACCTATATACTCGAACCAAATTATTTTTCTCCCCATTCGGGAATCGAACTCCGTCTCCTGCTTGCGACATCGAATCCCCTGACCGCTACACCCCAGGCGCTGGTTCACAGTTATCGTTCTGTTGTTCCCAAAAGAAGCCCACACGACTCGGACCTAGACTAAAACTACAAAAGCTCCCTGACCTTACTTGTGAGCAGGAGGCTTGACCACGTTCCTTCTAAAAGCTTACTTTCTTTACTTCATCCTTCCTCTTGTATCGTTAGATGTCGAGGGGAGCTGCTCTTTTCGGTAAAGGGTTGATATGTTGTTCTTTTGGAGGACCTCTTTAACATCATCCAGCCAAGTTGTGTGTGGTCTGCCCCTTCCCTTGTATCCTGACACGTTTGAGCTGTAACCTCGTGCAGTTGGTTGATTTGGTGACATTCTCATCAAATGAACGGACCATATGATTCTTTGATGTTCAATGCGTTCCACAACCGGTTTTATCCCTGTAAAATTTCAGACAGTTTTATTCCTTATACAGTCTTTTCTAGTAACGTAAATTAATCAGTAAGCGTGTGCCTTTGGCAATTTTAGAAAAGTACTTATGGCCACCTGTCCAAAACAATCACCTGTCCAGACGACCAGTTCA